AGCAGAATTTTTGGAAGGCTTGCGGCAAGGAAATCATTTGCAACACCAAATTTGCCTACAAAATCAATATTCTGACCCTGCTACAAGTGTGATTTCTTCATTCCAACATGAGGCAACCAATGTAGTTAATAAATATGTTTTAAAATGACATAGAGAATGCTGTGTTTTTTAAGAGTCCGGAGTGTTGGAAATGCAGGACTCTCAGCAGTACAGCTGAAAACATCTGAGAGATGCAGCGTCCTTCCCTGGAGGCTCGTGCCTTCTCCAGCTCCTCTCCCCATACTACAGAAGAGCAATACAGTCTAACACACTGTGTTTGACATTGAAGATCAAGCCAACAACAAACCATCCTTGGATTTTACTTAAATTTCACAGAATCATAGAAGAAATTAGCCTGAGAGGAGCACTGAGAAATCATCTAGTTCCGTGTCCTGCAGGACTAACTTCCAGCCGGCTCGGCCTTCTCGGAGCCTGCTCCAGCTGAGGTTCTGAAGAGCGCCACGGACTGTGGCCTGCTCGGCTCCGTCGAACGGGCAGCCGAGCGTTTCCAGAGAACGTGTGCCTGGGCAGGTCTGAAAACAAGAAGTGAGATGGAGTTCAGCACTTCCAGCGTGAAGTGGGCTGACAACGAACTACGGCACCCAAAGTGAGGATATCAGCACCCAAGTTCAATCCCAGGCCCGCTTTAGTTGCCCAGCTCCCCTTTTTAGACCAGGCTCTTGGCTCCTCTGCTTGTTTCACCAACAGAAACTTTGCAAAGAACAAGTAATCTGAGACCTGGTTCAGCTCTAAAATTAAGTATTTTCAACTTCAGCAGACTGAAACATAGATGCCCTGTTCCTTCGTTACCATACCTAGACCACAGCGGGTCACGAGCAGGTCACCGGTTCCACCTGTTGAAGCACATGCAATTAAGAATTCACATGAGACTTAATTAGAAAGTGTTATTTTATTCGTATCTTACAAAAGCAAAGCTTCACAACATGAACTACACTAGATATAGTTATTTCAGAATTAACCTTGTCATCTGAAAACATTCACTACACGATAAAATTTATTTTACAGCTCTAACAGGTTTCATTTTTGCATACAAAATATGCTCTTTACACTGAAATACATATTATTAACAAAGCAGGTACTTAGAAGCACATACACAAAGATTGCTCAATGTAAAACGCTTCAGTAGGGAACAGATTTCCTGCAGCAGAACATCCATTTGCTGTAGATTTGCAAAGAAGCTTAAAATCAATAGAAAACTTGCCAGTGAAGACTTCCAAATTACATTCCCTTTGTCAAAAAGAAACAAAAAACAAACAAGCGAACCTCCCAAACGTTCTGGAGTAAAACAAGCAGCAACAGCTCCTTTTGCTAGGCAGCACTGTCGGAACGTGGCTTCCAGCACCGAGTTTTACGTTAAAATTCCAATCAACATTTTATGTTAACATCCGCATCATCTAAACATTTTACCCGTGAAAAAACAACCGTTACTCCCTCTTAGCTGCCTCACAGTCGGTGAAAGTATTGACCGAGATAATCTACTAAGATCTTCAGTCCAGTAGTTGCATGTTCATTGGAATATTCAGTTTCAAAATAATAAGTCTGTATTAAGAGTACTATAAATAGTGCATGTTAAACGTCAATGTATCTACAAAATAATCAATTACAGTAAAAACAAAAACCCCACAAAGTTAATGTTTTGCAACTACAGAACTTAAGAGAGTCAAGCTATGCAAAAATTTCAGCTCATTCCGAAACTTCGCTGTTAATACAAGTTAAAATGCTAATCACCACTTTATAAGGATGTGGTTTTTTAAAAAAAAGAGTTAGTGCAGTGTAGCACACGGAGAACTCAACACCAGAAGTCCCAGCCGAGGACTGGACCCCACAATTCCTGACAAGTGTCCCTCACTGACCCCGAGTAAGGCCTACTTGTGCAAGGGAATCGGCAGGATCGGACTCTGCAACAATTTTCCAGTACTAATTCTGGTCTTTAAATTAAACAGTATTTACAAAATTATGAAAAACTAGTAGGAAAATACACCTTCCAAACCTACTCAGTAGACAGCAGGAACTGGATGTAGCCAGGGTACTGTTTGGCACAACTGAACACAGAGGATTACGTTGAAGAACTCAGAATGCCAGCGCGGAGGGTGACCCTCTGTGTCGGGGCTGTCAGTCGGCAGGGATCCACCCTGCAGACCCGGCTTCAGAGTGCGGGTACGGACACCGCAGGCGGCTGCTGCCTAAGCACCCCTCCCGCAAACACGAGCTTGCGCAAGGAGAGAAGGAAAAACAGTTTTATCGTCATCCAGCACTTCATAGGTGTTCAAGCTCATTTTCTTTTCCTTAAGTACTTCGAAGCAGAAACAATGGTATGAAGTCAGCAATATTAAAATACTTCTAAACAACAATTTGCAAGGTTTGGGGTTAGATTTTTTTTTTTTTTCATCCTGACTTCCATTATTTGGACCATACATTCCCCTGCAAACAGAGGATCCCTTCCTAAACAAGGGCCCCTTTTCAGTAAGATCACGCAGGCTTCCCCTTGCTCCCAGCCACCTCTGTTTGTGACCTAACTGTCCTCCCATCTAAAATTTCACTCGGGGGCATCATGGTTCAGAAGTCATTGTTCTAAATCACCAGATCGTCGGCTGGCGCAAACAGAACAGTCTGTAATGCCGACAGGCACACTGCTAATGAAAGGCCTAACGGACCAGAAACCGCCGAAATGGGATGGAGGGATGAAATCCCCAACATTCCCGCGCACTGGAGTTAGCCTCCCTACTGATGCCAAGAGGGACCCAGGCTGGAGCCACAGACCGAGGAGAGCCTGCCTGTTGTGCCCGGCTTCATTCAGCACTGGAAGCGGCTCCCAGGAGCACCACCCACGCAGAAGATTCCTTGGAGTTGCTAGAGCCTAGGAATAAGTCTACGTCACCCATTCAAAAGGCAAGGAAAATCACCTCTATAAATAACTATTTCTAATGGTCTTTAACAGTAACGTTTGTAGTCCTAATATCACATTTTAGCCAAATGGAGATTTTAGAACATGTCAATACGTGATCGAGAGAGCGCCATCATTTCTACACTACTCTTTGGCCGGAAGACTCACATTACAAAACCTGTACAGGAGCAGTAACTTCCAACTGATTCCAGTTCAGTCAACTTTTAGTCCTTAAAATAAAGGACTCTGTGTGTTTATGCACACAGAGTTGCAGTTTTGCTTATAAAATAAATTTTAAAAGGATAAAGCAACCAAGAGATATTTTGGAATAAGGAGTGTCATTATGAAAAACAGAAATTGCATTCTGAATGTATTTTGAAATACACTGAAATGTATTTTGAATGAGTCCTGAAACCAAAAACGTTTTTAGGAGTGACAGTGGGTTATCATTCACCTTCGCTACATCGGAAATACTTCAGAAGTGTACTTTTGACCTCGTTACTGCAAGATTACGTGCAGCCAAGAACCTAGTTCCTTCACCTGGTTACTTAAGCACAGAAAACTCAACAGTAGGGAAGCTGGGTAAAGAGAGAAACACATTTGGTTCCCAAATTTCTAATTCATTAAGTCAAAAATTACTTCTAAAGCTACAATTCTCAGAAGGGTGGTTTTGCCTGCGTTGATCTTACACTGAAGCCATTGTATGTTTCTCCATCGGCCTCAGGAAGCTTTAGCTGCCATAACAATACAAATCTGAATAAGCCAAACATTTACTATACAGATCCCAATTTCTGACTTGCAGAATATTAATAAAATCTTCCTGCTTTTAACATATTTGCTGCCATATTTTGCTGATTGTAAAATGGGAATATGTAAGGGAAGCTTTAATTTGCCTCCAGTAAGACAAGCTAAGGTAAAAGTGCACGTCTAAATACGGGAAAAGTAACAGTTCTTCACTTTTTGAAACATTACACATTCCTGCGTAGCGTATTAAAAGCTTTTATTAATTTTGCTAGGATGTTTTATTTAGGTTTATATTAAAGTGCCTGTCCGTTAGCCTAGGTGCTTCTAAAGTAGGATGTACAGCATTAAAAGAAAAAATAAACATGTGCAATGGACTTCACATACATCTTTAGTTACCATTTGCCACCTACAACTATTAATCACAATGACTTCCAGCGCAGTCAGCCGGTATTCCTTCGCCTGCCCTACTACATGACCGTTCAGAAAACCCAGAAGCCCTTCCCCGTATTCCTAGCGCACCAAAAGCGCAACAAATCTGAGGGAGGGGACATGACAAACTGACTTCCAAGTTAGCTGAAGGTTACAATAAACTAGATTACGGAACTTTCAAACAGACAGGCAACCTACCAGTTGTAGCTTGGCCCGAGATAAAACTGAACAACTGATTTTTAATTTGTAAACCTCTTGTTTGTTTCTATCAGAACTTCTATCAGCAAGACAGAAGTCTAATTGTGCAAATTTTAAAGACCTGTACAAATTAGTTTAAGGCAGTTAAAAATCTCACGGAACATATATTAGTTCTACAAGCTCTTTACTACAACTGTTTAAAAATTACCTCCTTTTAGAAAGAATGACAGTAAAATTTGGTAAGCGTAGTTTAAAATAAGGTGTCATGTTTAATTTTTCTTTTGTATAATGAGAGATTGACAAGATTTTAACTCTTTCTTTATTCCTGCCAGTTTTATTCACAATAAGCTGTTATCTTCTAGTTTTGCAATGAGTTTTAAAAATAAGTTAAATTAGTGTTCGAGCGTTAGCATGAAGAGTTTAGACTATACCAAGCAAAACCTTATTATTAACCTTCATCAAAATTAAAGCAAGTTTTACATCAAATTGAATTTGTATGTCAAAGTTGCTTCTGTTTGTTCTTCCGGTCTGGAGCAGCTAAGTTTTTACGGATAAGTATGGCTCCAAAGCAACCATGTGTGCCATTGCATCAACCTTTCGTATTTTATAGTGAATATATTTTGCCTCGCCTAGTAACTAGTCTGATGATTGCATCCTATGTTTCAGGACATACGCTCTGCTTCTACATTTGTAGAATGTTCATTGGGATTAAGTGCAAGCAACTTAAAATTAGCAACCAAAGCATGTAAATGCATTCCAATTCCTATAGCGCACTCTCAGCTTTTTTCGAAAGGCTACATATAAAATAACAACCACATCTTATACAAAATTTCCCTGGCAAGTTTTACAACAACATAGAAATAAATTTTCCTCCTTTGTCGAACTGATTAATGTGAAGATTCCTTACGGGAATGTGCAAGCTTTCCTTCAGCAAGTACGAAAAATATACTGTAATATGTTAAAAAACTAAATGAAAGCGTGTTCTCAGTCAATGTTGACTATGTTGGCCTCTTGCAAAATGGCAAGCAAAGTCATACTTATTTTTACACTTACACCCACATATGTTGCACTGAAAAGGATTTTCAAATCCATGACATCCCATGTGAATAGTATAAAGGATATTGTCCGCAAAGTACATGTCACAGTGTTGGCAGTGATGCAGAAGCTGAGGGTCCTGAACCGGAAGGGTCGGAGCTGGAGTACTTGGCTGACTGTTACTTATGCTGGGAGTACTGGTGTGGGCACTGCGATCACTGCTGGGACCTGCCACGGGGCTGTAGTTCCTTTGATTGTGTGCAGGCCGAGGATCCGGGCTGGTCGGAGATGAACTCTGAGGAATATTCGCTGACACAGCGGAAACTACTGCAGGTGCAGCAGGCTGCTGCATCATGAAAGGCTTTTCATCTTGACAGGAAACAACATCAGGAGAGGCTGGATTTTGGTTTTCAGGTGGCAAGCTAGATAACTGTCCAGCTAACGTAGAGAGCTGGTTTAAAGGATTATCTACCATAAGGTCTTGTGGATCCCTCGGCAACCCACTGCTCTGGGTTGTCTTTGTCATGCTCTCGTACGCTTCAGTCTGGATATTTGGGATTTCATGAGTGAAATCGTTAAGGTAGTCTGGTTTCTGAACCACCATGGAAGGTGGACTCAAATTAATTAATGCTCTTCTGCTGTACCCCAAATTGCTGGTCTTCTTCTGCAAAACCCCCCACATTTTCTTGCTGCTTAGGGAAGATCTTGTACCCTTGATAGGCACCATTTTGTGTTTGCGCCTGCGATGGTGAGATAAGTTGCTCCTGTCACTGCAGCGAAAGGAACACAATTCACATTTGTACGGTTTTTCACCAGTATGCGATCGCATGTGAGCTTCCAGATGACGTTCGTAAGCTGAAGCAAAGGGACACAAATGGCATCTATGTGGCTTCTCACCTGGAAAATTAAAACAGATATAGTATAACATCTCAGAGTGCTTGAAAAAGGCTTTTCATGGAACAGAAAGTAGTTAACTGGGAGCTGCCAGT